AAAGAAGAAATATTGAAAATTGTGAAATATACACACGCGGTGAAAGTCAACGATAATATTAATAACAATTCCAGGAGCAGCCCATAGATTATGCAGTGCCGAAGCGGAAGGAGGAAGACGAGGAGAAGTGTCGCGATGGTGCGATAGCATCGCGTAGTCCTAGCAATTCGATCGCGAGGTCTCTTCTGGCCGTGAAGCTATCCGGGTCACAGGTGGTACAGACATCCGGGGGTCACGGCAGATCCTCAAACTCGGGCAACAGCGGTTCCTCCGGCAGTGGCGGCGGCGGCGGTACCAGCAATTCCTCACCCTCAAACGGCGGCGGCGGCAACGGTGGCGGTGGTGGTAGCGGCGGCGGTGGCGGTGCTATGATCGGCGGTGGATGCGGAAGCGGAGCGATGATCGGCGGGGGTGGCAGCGGCGGTGGCGGTGCCCTGGGTGGTGGAGCGGGTGCGGGAGGCATGCCCCCCGGCGGAAATGGGGGTCGCGGCAACTATGGGCCCAGTTCACCACCTACGGGGTCTCTACCGCCGTTTTACGAGTCGCTGAAGGGTGGCAACAACATCGCGAACTTCGCCAATCAGTACAACAGCTCTCAAGGTAGAGACTTCGCCTGTGTTCTCACTTTTACTTCCTTTCCTTGCGAGACAAGAAGACACGTATAAGCTTCTACGACTCGACACTTCATTACACTTCGTTACATTGAATTTTCTCTCGGCATATAGTTTGTTAGTTAGTGCTAAATTAATTTTAATATTGATAATCGTATTTCAGAAACTTAGACATAACATCACATTTTCTTTATCATGATTAATTAAATTATTTTTATGAATTAATCGAATCAACGAGAGATAGCTAGAAGTGTCATTTTTATTTATTAATTTATCTTGTTAATTTAATTACTACCTTAATTATATAACTAAAATTTTAATCTGAATCTTTCTCATTTAATTTCAATCATTCTTTTCCGGTATTCCGGTATTCCGATATTCAGAACTCGAATATTGTCATGTTCGTATGTTTGATTTCAACTGATGTTTATCTTGTATAGAAACAAAGTGTGATTTCAATACAGCGTGAGATTGTTTATATTTCCTCTGGCCAAATTATTTGAGATTGTTCGCGATCAGTTACGACTTGAGTATTTAGTGTGGCAAATTCGATTATCCATGTCTCACCACATCGTAATCCCACATCCTACACTTGGACGCCGCGTGCGTCAAGTTATATTAACCTTTCTCTTTTGTTTTTATTATCTGTGGGTTTTTTCCCTGTACATTAGCTTTCGCTTTTGCTGTTACTTGTACAAGGTTTTATCATACATTATTAAGTAATTAAATCATTACAATACTCATCCTCAGAAACGTAATTTTTATGATGCAAATACTATTATAGAATGATAAAATGGAAAGATACCAATCTTGGCAAATCTGAGAAGACGTTTTATTATATACATTTCATTTGTAAATAATCAGATTATTTGCAACGAAATTTGTTGTCATTATCTAATTAGCTTTTTTTCGGCCTAGAGAACAGAATGAATACGCTTGATAAGTTAAAAATTCATAGATTTTGCAAAAAAGTTTTTATTTATTCCTAATCATCCACGTTGTTGTTTCAGGAAACGCATACCTCACGCCACTAACGGCGGTCGGAATCGAATGCGACACCGGACAGCAAGACAACTCTCAGCACGCACAATACAACGCACAGGAGGGCAAGCAGTACTCTCTCCTACAGAATGTTTGCGCGAACGTTTGCGCGTCCTACGGTCTTACGTTCAAGGAGGAGGAGGAGGAGCTGGCGGGCTACAAAATTCAGCCGAACGACTTGCTGTCCGCGCAATACGGCGCCTACGATGTCACCGACACGGGCATGATGGTGGACATGGTGACCGGCACCATGGTGGTAGATCCGCTGCAGTTCACCGCGGCGACCTTGACCTTTAACTCGCCGTCCGATCACACGGCACTCCTCGAGACGCTGAATGACGCGGCGGACCTTCTGTTGCCCAGGTTGCAGACCGAGGACGGCGGCAGTGATCTCTTAGAGGAGTCCCTGCACTCGCCCGCCTCGACCGGCAGCAGCGGAATCGGCCAGGACGCCGGTCAAATGACCACTCCCGTCGAGCCTAGTGTCGATCCTTTCCCCGAGCACAGCATGGCCTTGACCAGAGGCTTTGACACGAGGTGAGCTCACGCTCGACTGCCGTGAGAACCGCTCGCGCTCTAACTAACACTATCTCCGCCGTTCGCCGTTTGCTTTCATCGTAATCGCGGCCGAGTTAGAAAGCCGGTCGTATAATACCGTTTGTTTGAAGTTCAATCGCGGGCTAGAATAATATAGCGTTGACGATGAATCGCTTGCCCTTTTCTCAGACACTACACGACCCCGCAACACTTCAACGCGTCCAAGCTCGCGGGATTGAGCTATGCGGCCGGCGAGACGAGCTACCAGTCGCTTCAGAAGGAACGTCCGGATCTCGCGTTGCACGTTAATCAGAACCATCAGCACCAGCAGGAGCAGCAGCTGCAGATTCAGGTGCAGCTGCAGCAGCATCAGCAGAAGCAACAGGCCACGTCGCCGCATCAGCAACAGCAACAGCAGCAACAGCATCAGAGTCTTCTGAGCCCCGGATTGAATTTCAATAATGGTAAGTTATTAATATTTCTCTTATATTTCCATGCAACTATTATTGAACTAACATTGCATTTTTTGCACAAATAAATTTATAGTTACGGCAATATCTAGTTTCAAAATTATAGCAATTTAATGGATCTTTTTTGTGGTATGCTTGAGACATCAAAATATAATAATAATAATAATAATAATTTGATAATTATATCAAAATATTTGTAAAGAATGATACATTCTTTTTATTAACAAGAGATTTTTTATTTATAGATTTAGAACTAAGAACTAATGCCACGGTTCGGTTCTTTAATCTCAATCAAGGTTTAGAAATAGACTCCGGTAGCAGCGTAGGCGGAAGCCTGCCCAGCCCTGGGACCGCGAGCTGTTCCCTGGACGGCGCCTCGACCGGCACCTCGCCATCGTGCGGACTGGGAGAACACGCGCACAGCCCGGTTGTGTCACCCACCACGGTCGCAGCTCAAGCCGCCGGAACGGTTAACGAACCACCGCTCTCGCAACGGGTCGGTGTACTTCAACAAAGGGTAAGCGACCCAAATTGATCCAGGCAAAAGCATATTTCTTCGTTATGCGATGTTGAATTACCGCTCAAAAGCGAGATGATGATGATGACACTTCGGGGTGTCGTCTGCGATACGATCCGCAGGTTTCTCAAGCCTCCTCGATCCGAGATCGAGTTGTTGGAGCAAACTCGCGGATCGGTTCCAGAGTGAGATCGATATATAATAAAGACGACAGCGAGTGGATCGTTGATTCCCACTCTCACGCGTATTATGCAATGCTCAGTCAATTTGAGTGCTTCATCCGATGTCATCAGTCTTCTGATCATCACGTAAAGCACGGCGAGAACTAACGTGTCTTCTCATCGATTCGTAGCTGGGTTTACCGAGCGACTGTCAGCTAGAATTTGTTAACGGTGGTCACGGCATAAAAAATCCTCTAGCCATCGAGGGTCAGAGGCAAGCGGCAGCTAATCGAGATGAGGAGAGAACAAATCGTACTCCGCCTGGCAAGGTAATGCTGCTTTCCGCGCGTTAGATCGCTGTTTTTCGCGCAATCGTCATTATCACAGACGTGGCTGAGACGTAAACGAAATCGCTATCGAATTGCAAAAGTCGCCGTCGCGACATCACGACACAGTCCGTTGTAACGTAATTACCCTCTCGATCCTTTGCTCAACAGGACGACGATCCCAATCGTTTTACCTGTCGCGTGTGCAGCAAGAACTTCAGCCTTCAGCGGCTTCTCAATCGTCACATGAAGTGTCATAGTGACGTGAAGCGTTATTTGTGTACATTCTGCGGGAAAGGCTTCAACGATACGTTCGATCTCAAGAGGCATACGCGGACGCACACGGGCGTGCGACCCTACAAATGCTTCCTCTGCGAGAAAAGTTTCACGCAACGGTGCTCACTGGAGAGTCACGGTCAAAAGGTTCACGGCGTTCAACATCAATACGCCTATAAGGAACGACGCGCTAAGGTAAGCTTCGTTGAAAATGACATTCTACAGAAGAAAAACGACAAGTTAATTTTCTTTAAAAAAAAAAAAAAAAAAAAACAGATACAGATTGAAGTAATATTTTGCGTATATTTAAAAACTTTCTCTTTATAATTTTTATTTATAGATTTTTATGTAATGTATTTTTAATTTGTTATCTGCATGCAAAATGCCTGTTTGACAGATGTACGTTTGCGAGGAATGCGGACATACGACGCACGAGCCGGAGGTGCATTATCTTCACCTGAAGGAGCAGCATCCCTACAGCCCGGCGCTGCTGAAGTTCTACGACAAGCGGCACTTCAAGTTCACCAATAGTAACTTCGCCAATATGTTGCTCCAGGTGGGCACCGACTCCGCGTAGACACGATATTAAACGTTGAGATTCGTGTTAGGTAGAAAATAAGTAGCGCGTTGATTAATCGACGATCTGATGTAGGGCGGCTTCGATACTCGAACGAACAAAACAAAATATACAGCGCGGTATACAAGAACACGAAATTGTTCTTGTTGATGTAACTCTTCAGGGTGGCCTCTTACAACGGGACTCACGGAATACGGACAGCTGCGGCCTCGCGGAGCGACGAGAGACGGCCTCAAAGGGCGGCGACGCGGCTCATCAACAGACCACGACCAGCTTCTAAATCAATCGAGAACGAGAATCCGGATGAAAGAGAAAGAGAGAGAACGAGAGAGTGAAAGAATAAGAAAGAGAGAGAAAAGGGGGAAAGAAAGAGAGATGCCGATCGATCACGCGTTCGTTCTTCAATCAGGCTGATGAAGGGACGTCTCGCGCGTTAAGTACCTGCAGGTGGCTCCCATTGCGGTGACACTGATGAATGAACAAACATCGAAGTTCGACGACAGGATCCGATTGAGGGATCGCACGGGATCTGTGACCAATTAATTCCTGCCGTCTTAAATTCAGGGGATAGAGGAGGCAGAGGACCGGGGATCGCCAGAGGCGAATAGAGAAATAAGAGTAAGGAAAGATCTTCGCGTGCAGCTACAACAATCGCAAAAGTCATGTAGACGATATCTCACTTATAGCTTCTCGCTGACGCGTAGAAACGCAGCATAATCAAAGCTTATTCTTTCTTTTTTTCCGATTCGGTAAAGAAATTATCGTTTTATTGAAAAAGAAAGACAGCTGTTCGAAGGGGAAAGCGGTTGTAGCGGTTATTAAGACGTTGTTTCATTAATAAAGACCTTGTTAATGGATGCGCTTCTGACGAATTCTGTTGACGGCGGCTCGTTGGGCTCTCAAATTCTAACGACCGTTCTGCCAAGCGAAGAATTTCAGAACGAATTTAGCGCGTTGCGGGCGCTATAAAATCTCGCTTCTGCCTATTGTCGGAGACAGAGTCCCACATTTCTTTCTTATATGTTCTTAAAACCTTTCTTCTTATAGCCGTACTTTAGTTTGTACTTTTATCTAGCAGATCTAGAATAGCAGATTAATTTAAAGAGAAATCCTATAGAACTGATAATAGATTATAGGGGGGGAGGGAGGCGTATGAAATGCAGACGTACTCATGCGTACGCATACACGCACACACGTATACACATACACATATACACATATATCCTGCCACACGCAATATGCATATACCGTAGGTTTTTAGGTGGAATATTAATATCGTGGGCCGGGGGCGCGCGCGACATCGAGCAGACCCAAAGACTCGGATAGAACGTTTCAGGAATGCCGATCGACCTCGGCGAGCGTTGCCGAGGCGGGAGAAGAGTGCGATCACACGGAAGACTTTTTTTTCTCAGAGATGTATGGCGAGTTACGTTGCTTTTCGACTCGATGGGGCGAAATGGGGTTCTCGATGTCGCGATCGCCGAAGGGGATGTTCCCTCGAACGCGATCCTCGTCGTGAATTCTTCACTGTCTTCGATCGATCGGGACACCGGAATCGAAGGGAATCAGCGTTGCTCGAAACGCCGGGCGCCGCGGAACGGGGCGAGAGATCACGTCGGCGGGGGTGACTCTGCGCCGTACCATCGTAGAAATAGAATTCGCGCTGTCCGACGCCTGGCGGAACAATCGCATCGGGGAATGATTAATAAAACGAACGCTATCGTTTCACCATATAACGTTATTGAGATTCGACGATTAAAGTTTACTGTTTGCTTTAAAGGAGATGTTTCGATATTCACAGCGGAACGATACGCGGGTGTCGTTTTAAAGAAAACTCCGGTTTTTTTTATCTCTCCGGTTTCCATTATTTTGCCAAACGTCGATATATATATATATATATATGCAGTACATGTGTAGTACGTTCCCAACCGAAGTGCACTTTGGGTAATCTGTGATATGATAAGAGTAACAAGACAATCCACTCACTCGCTCCTCCACGCACCGGATTTCGCTTTTCCGTTTTCTCTCGCGCTTGTAGTTTTCTTCTCCTTTTTTTTTCTTCCTTCGGGTTCGGGTAAGAGGGGACAAAGGGTAGGAGGAGGGTACGCATACACATACCACACATATGAATATGCCCACGTGCACACGTCCCCGCCTCCAAAAAACACGCACACATACATATACATACTCGTACACATACAAAACGGGATTTCGTGCAATTCTGAGGTGGCAGTACTTGAGTCGAGCAACCGGTATATTCCGCTCGATTCCTCTCATCGCGGACTCGCTCGCGGAAATAAGCTCGGCTTGCGAATTCTAAAATTTAGGGTGCTCAACACTAGGGTCGAGCGGCGCGAGCTAATCTCTCGAGACTACAAGATTAACCCTTTGAAATGCGATGATTACAACGCATAACTCTCTTTCTCTCTTCTTTTTTTTTTCTGTTCTTTTTTTACACAATATTATCTGCCTGATGATTTCCGTTTCTGCGTCACATCGGTGGTTAGCCGCTGATCCATCTGAGACTTGATACCTTTAAATGTGGTAACGTTATCTACATTTTCATCACTTCAGAGTCTTCTCCTTTGTATTTATTTGTATCATAGATCATACATTTTATCATAGTCTAAATGCTGTATATATGTACATACGCTTGTCTACGCCGTTCCCGTGTACGCACAGAGTACAGGGAGTTGCAGATGCGCTTGTCAAAGGGTTAAAGAAAGCCGCGTCGGTGAACACGACCTCGAAAGCACAGTCCTTCAACCCTCGGGCGAGCGCGAGAAAAAGTAACAATATCCGATAAACACATATCTGTTTTTACTAATCGCATGAACTTTTATAGGAAATTGGAAATAAGGATACAATATGGTACTTTTACAGCTTCTAAAAAACGTAGATTTTAAATGCCTCGCAATCTATAAAAGGTAAATGAAAATTAAAGAAACGACTTTCAGAGGAATTCGTTTGTTTTAATATTTTCGTTCGAGAGAAGTGGAAAAAATTCTGGTGATACAATTTCCGGTAACTTCATCGCTCTAATTGGATTATGATGCTAAAATCGAATGACTAATAATTTGCCTGACTCTTAAATAGAGTGATTGTACAAATTTTTTCGCAGCGCGATAAATATTAAAATTGTGTTTTATATATAACGAAGAATACTGGAAAGTTAATTAGATTTGTCATTCTTAGTCTTATGCGCCCGCCCGATGGTTAAAACGCACCAAGAGCGTTTGATGTCGATCGAATGTATATATACCGTATAGAAACTCTATATATTTATATATATATATATATATATATATAATATATATATAGAAGAAACTATTGATATATATTTAATTCCACGTATTATTCATACTTACCCGTTTTTAGGCTCGCGGTCGCCTCGGCGCGGAGGTCAACGCCGACGTCCCGCCGCGAAGACGTTCATTCCTGTTGTAAATAGTTTTTTTTTTCCTTCTTTTTTATTTCCGGCGACGGAAACGGGTACCGGTTAGTCCACGCGATATTGTCAGAATCTTGCTTGCGACAGTAATGTAAGTATCACGTACTTGTATAGCGAACGTACGGGGATTTGGGGAAAGGGGGGGGAACCGGCACACAGGTTCTCCCGTACTTACATCTTACATTAGAGTAGAATACTCGGAGGATAACGGTACTTGTCGTCGTACACTGTCAATCAAGTTAATAATATATGTTACGCATTATCTCTCTCATTTTATTATTATTATTATTATTATTATTATTATTATTATTATTATTATTATATTAATAACATTATATTTTTAAATACGATATCTGATTATCTACGTTTTCGCTACTATTTAATTTACGCTCAGTATTGTCACAGATAATAGCACTTTGACTATACGTTCAGCAGAATCGTCGATCTGAAATCAATTTGATTTTTTCATCACCATCTTGCTGTTGTTATTTCGATATTTGCATACGCTATCGATTTTCCGAGGCGTTCAACCCCACTCTTCATCCCTAGTACTTAATCCGTCATTATTATTATTATTATTATTATTATTATTATTATTTTATTATTATTATAATATTATTATTATATATCATTATTATATTATCATTAAGTGAGTTGAATAATGAATTTAATTATTGATTCTAAAATTAATATTATAGATAATTCTACATATGCAGGATATACATACAGCTCTTATGTGCTTCTTAATTATATATGAATACTTCAAGAAGCGGATTTAGAGTCGAAAATAAGAAAAAGAATAATATATGAGCATCGATTGTTTAGACTTTATCTTCTGAGTCGTAATGAATTACAGAAAATAAGATTGTTATTAGATATTCTAAAGTGTCACTCGAAATAAAGTAATATTGTAATATATATATGTAGATTTATATATCAATTACACTACTTTATTTCGAGCCGCATTTTAAAATGTATCTGTATTTATACGAAGTATTAACGTATAATTGAGAAACATAATATTTATCAAATTGTCCGGTTGCAGAAGCAATCCTCTTGTCGCAGAAGACACGAGAGACGAAGATTACGACTAGGGAAACAACCATAGCGTAGTGCGTAATTTGCTTGATCTATGAAGACGAAGGTATTTCATCAAAGAGTTACTGATTATTTTTTATATAATCATATCTATATATGGAGTTTTTAAAAAAAGAACTTTCTCTCATTAAAGATTTTTCGCATATAAATACACATATTTTCTTTCAAAAAGTCTGAATTTTATCGTCAGAATGATTTAAATGAAATAATTTCAAAGTATGCGTAGAAAACATTTCTGTATAACGAGATGGAAGATTTCTTTTTCTTTTTCTTCTGAATTGAGCAAATTTTACACTGCGAGGGCGAAGTTATATTAACGTGCGATTGCGAACCGAGCGTATGATTGTATGCGTGGAATATTATTGTATGCGTGCAGATCTGTACGGCGTATAACACAGCTCTTAACTATACTTTCGGCATTTGTAGACAAAAATAGATACATCGAAGCTCTGAAGTAAAAAGTGTAGCTAAAACGGGACAGTCTTACCGTCCGATATGCTGTGCCGTGTCGTTTGCGAATTTGTAAATTCTATTAGAGCGCGACTGCGTCATCCGGGACATTGGTGTCTACTCATTACAGATCGTTATTAATTTGTAGCTAACGGTAAACGTGGTTGCGCGCTCTTATATGTTTGCGAGAGATAATAAAAATTAATATTATATATACACTCCATATAAACGCTTACTTGATACTCCATCTCGTTTGTCACGCACTTAATAATTATATCTTTATACATATCTTACCAATATTAGAATGGATTACAATTCTGAGGCGCCATCATTTTCTTTTATGATTTTGCACATTCCGTTTTTGCGGAATTGTTTCTCAGATAAAACTTTCAATTCAATTAGAAATAGCAATTATCTTTTTACGTGATTGTGATTGCATATATTTGAAAAAAATATCAGATTTTCATTTTAATTAGGATTTTTAAGGATTTTTAGAGAATTCTGGATATGAGCATAGATATGGAGATGAGGATTTATCATCTTTTTCTTTATTAACAGCTTAACTTTTTTAAGTTTTATATAGTTTAGATTTTGTAAAGTATTGTATCCAACGTTCCTCGTTCACGTGCGTTTCCTAAATAATAATAATACCGAACCACTCGGCGATAAATCCCAGAATCGCTGCGAAAAGCGAAATCCATATATATCGTAGCGCTGCAATATCAAAATGATAAGAGAGTGCTACGGTTAAACTACTACTCCAGGATGCGTCTTATCTGCAACAGAGAATGATGCCGGTGATGATTCCTCGGTAAAAGCAGCGAGAAGCGCGGCGGTATAGGTGCGCACGGAATTTCGAGGCCGGTCATTTCGACCTGCCTGCGTGCAGCTCCGGAAGTGGGTGGTTTTTCGACGGGTGGGTGCTTTCGCCGAATATTTTGACGATTATGACGGTTTCGTCGGCCGAAATGCGTTGTGCTCGACGTGCTTCGTTAACGCGCTTGTTTTGTTTTACTCACTGCTGATTACGGAGCTGAACGGCATGTATCTAGGTTTGGCAGGCACTTTTGGGGCATCCTTACGCGGTGTAAACGGCTTCTCTTCGCTGCTGAGGCGTTTCACCTGGAAGTAGTTTAATCATTTTTTGAGCGTAAAACGATAGATAATTATTTCAAAAAGATAGCAAGAGAGTTATATTACGATTGTTGGTACTTTTATACTCGCTTGTTAACTTTTATGTCGAAAAATTCCAAAAACTTTGAACGTACTGTTTAATAAGCTTCGTTCAGCCGGTTCTCGTTGTTGATACGAATTGAACGCGACGACAAAGCTTCCAGCTTTCAGTAAGAAAATTCACACTTTACGAATCACTCGGCACATGACATTCCAAGTTCCACGACGAATGCAAAATCTCTTTTCGTAACGCGTCATATTTTCGCACGTGCGTCCTAATCGCGATGCTATTTCGCTCGCTCGACGTTTCTTCTCGCACTCTGGCGCTTTGAAATTCAAGATAAGATGAGCATCGACTTTCTTTCGCATAATTCTCACCTGTTCGTCGATCGCCGCAAACTGCCACTTCCACGCATGATTATAGAGGAAGGGACGGTGATCGAATCGATTGTCATCAGGGCTGTATGTCTCCGCATGGCAAGATGGAGTCAATATCGTCATCTTGTGACGATTTATAGCGTAACATCTGTAGAAGTGTTTCACTTTATCGGCAATCTGGAACAAGGATTTTTTTTAAACAATCAATATATAAACCAAGGAAGGATATGTTCAAACACAGAAATGGAACATCAGCATCATTCGATAAAGAATCTTCGGCGCCTGATAATTATTTTATTTTTTAATTTAATTCTCTTTTTCTATTTTAATTCTCTCCATGAAAAATTCTTATTGCGAAACAAATCACTTCAAGATTCGAACTTGGAATTTTCTATCCAGAAGTGCTTTTATTTTTCTAAATTTAATCAAAGAGAAATTTAAGCTATTAGATTAAAATCTTGCTTGGATGCTCACCTCTTTCGGAGTACAATGATCCCACATGTGGACGAGTCTGCAGAACATTGTAAAAGGCCCGGCCTGATTCTGTTTTCTCAACCGTCCGAAGACCGATAGCTCCTTGTATGTCATGCCCATGTCCACCTCATCCAATTGCGCGAGCTGTCCCGCTTGGAGCGGTTCCAGTTCCGCGGTGGGTGGTGCCTCCAAGATATTATCCAAAGCGGATATTCCGTGTTTGCGTCTACAGTTCAAACATGAGGGACAATTTTTTATTGAGTCTTAAGTCATATACAAATACTTAACATATGGAATACCGAGCAATTTTTCTTATTAATATGGAAATAAAATTATCAGATATTTTAATATCATTAAAAATGAAATAATTATACATTTTTACAATAGTAGGTTTTATTTTTGTAAAAATAAATCAAAGATCTATTATGGTAAAGGCAATTTGAACAGGTTTCTTTTATAAATTATAACTTGCATAAATAATGCTTAAAAATTATTATAATTTTTATGTAATTTTTTATTTTGGGCTTTAAATTCAACTATTACATTAAAAATCGCCATATATATTATCGCATATATGTACCTAAAATATATGAGAAATTTTTTTAAATCATTCTTCGCAATGCCACCGATAGGATTGATGTCAGCGCTGCTGCAATCATATTTAGTGAGATAACCACGTAAGGCTTCATCCACGTTACCGCTTCCCAATACTAGAAGACCACCCGGACGGCCTCTGACCCACAACATTAATTGAGCGAATAAGTAAGCGATTACCATTCGCAACCGAGCCTGAAAGTAAAGTATTAGACGTAAAGGCGTGCAATTTGATAATTATTAGATATCGTAGTCATCCATTGGGGTTAGAGATATCAAGCAACATTACCTGTACATTTTGTAAGGCCAGATTTTCCCTCGGCGATCCACCCTGCACTTTGAACCTCGGTGTCAATTTAGTAACCTGCTGGAAGATCCCTAAAATCGCAGATATCGCGGTATCTATGACTATCCCATGATGATAGGACCCTATTTGACTGGCTAACTCAGCTGCTCGGGCTTTGGTCTCCGCTGACGAGTTCTCCGTTCCCATGTAACACGTGACCAGAAGAGTGTTACACAATTGTTTCGGATCGACTGGTACGTACTCGCAATCGCCAATGATCCTCCTGATGTCCGCTAAGACTTGCGTGTCTGAATACGAAATATAATTTTCAAAATTTGAAACTCTCATAGAACAGCTAATGCAGACAGTAGAGTTAAGGTAAGGCTTTACCTCCTCTACCGACCGATTCGACGATCATTTCGCACATCGAATAAACGATGCATGCCGAAGACGATGAATCGACGCCACCGCTCAATGGTAAGAAAAATCCACCTTGGCAAGATCGTCTAAAATATAGACGTGCAACGTCGGCAAATATACATGACAAACACACGTCACATACGAGACACAAGAGACACGATATTTAAAAAAAAATATGTATCTAAACATAATCCGTGACATGTAATAATATTCATATGTAATGATAAAATGTTGAAAATATAAATATATATCTTGACCCTGTCCAGCGCACCTTAGATAGTCCCACAGCCAGCATGCGGGTGCCATCGCGATCTCTTCTTCCGGGGTGTGATATACGATACCCGAGACCTCGTCATCGTCACCGTATATATCCTGAACTCCGTCCAGCGGTCGATCCGGTGGATTCGAGACGAGATTTTTCGGGGTCAGCGCAAAGTCGACCTTCACGCGCGGATAACTAAGCGATGCAGCTGCCGCGTGCGATCGCGATCTGATGCTGTTTCGATAATTCCTAAAGAGAATAGGAATAGCAATGGGCTCAATTATTTAAATTATTTTCTAGGTAGATATATGACATCCGAGTTTTCCGTCTCGAGATCAATTGAATACTCTCAATTGCTTACTCGAGTACTGAGTGCCCAGTCACCAGGCTGGAATGGCGTTAGAATTCAGATTAGAAACGAGAATAAAGAAGGCAATTCTCGGCGAACGAAGGTAAGATAGGAGGAGGGTGATAATTTTTCTTTTATTGAATTTATATATATATAAATTCGAAATTAATTGCTTATGTCTTGCGAACTACGTGCCATTACTTTTAACAGACTTACGCAGCAGCTCAAAGCTAGTTTTTAATAAATCGATAGTCAAATTTGAAATTAATTAACCCTCCGCCCCCATTTCAGAATAGAGAGTCGTCTTCGCTTTATTCTATTTGAAATTTACTTAGCTTGGCGTGTTACATCGTACTGTTTTATCAGATTAAACTCTTTACCTTATATCCTCAAGATCGAACGTGGCGACGGTCACTTCCACGTCTTCGAGAGCGAATTGCCGTCCGCGATTCAATATGTTGCCATTGAGCGTGACGCTGGAGCCGCCGTTGAAGTAGAGCCTGCCGCCGTCGCATCCGCGCAAATTACTGAACATGTAGCAACCGCCGGCCTTGAAAGTGGCCGATTTAACGAGGTCCACCGTGACGTAGGCTTTACGTAACTCGAAGTACGAGCCGCTTCCTTCCAGAGAAAAACCAATGAGAAAATAAAGAAGCGAGCTTTTAAACGCAAGCATTAAACTTACATGTCAGATTAGCACGTTTCTTTAATGACCAAACGTATATATCTTAATCTTCAGTTAGAGCGTTCACGAAGCAAAAAAGAAGCACGCGGAAGGAAAACAGAAGGATGAAGTTTGTTGTCTCGTAATGATGATAAATACGCCTACGTAACGATGATATTACCGTTCGCAATGATTTCCACGCCGTCCAATGACATTGGAATGTGATTGCTGGCTGGATGCCAAAGTTCCTCGCATATTTCAAAACCGACGCATGTGTCTCTCGTGGCGATAACTGCGTCACCGAACGGCACCACGGTCTGACTGGTGACTTGCGATATCATCCGCGGTAGAAAATAATCCTCGACCGTACGTTCCTAACACAATAAGACACCGCGGATTATCGCACGTCTAGAACACGCAAGATCGATCGATCGCGGATTATTTCCCATGTCTCATTACTTTCGTCCAAGGAGAGAACCATCTGCTTTCCCTGTAATTGCCGTCCTCGCAGAGCCGCATTTTCGGCCTGATCAGCAAAACTCGCCGATTCAGAAAGGCCACTCTGCAGTTGTACGTCACGTTTTTGTGCATCACCGGCATACCTATATCTATCAGTATATC